AGTCACTTTAATTGCAGCAGAGAAACATTAGGTCACCATGCCAGCGGTCATAAGGCTAGCTGTGCTCTCTCGCAGGGCTGTGTACATCTCAGGACTGCATGGAAAGAAATACAAATGCTTGGACAAGTAGAACATCTCCTATATATGCGTTTAACTGCCTAAAGTTGAGTGTTAATTCAGAAAAGGTTCCATACAGCTGTAGAACTTTTGCTGTGTCTTTTGTGAATCATAAAAGGACCTTAGCGAAGGAGAGACATTCAGGTCACATGGAATAGAGACCCACGTGTCATCCCATAGAGATAGTTGGGCAAAGCTTTAAATAGGAGTGTAAAAGTGCAGGAAGTGGTGTGAGTGTAAAAGGATAATTTGCTGGCTGAACAAACAGGCTCTGCCTGAGGCTTAGCACGGATGAGCTCAAGAACCTTTTTGCTGTCTCCAAGCATCTGTTGTTACATAAATTGTAACAGAAGTAAAGCAAGAGCAGGCCAGGCAATCATTTCTAGTTCTGGTGTATTTAGTGTGATTATATATAAAATGCACCTAGATATATACAGTATGTTCTAGTTTAGGATTCTCATTCTAGATTAGTGAATACGATTAGTGATGATTCATAGGTGAATGATGATCACTGAACGGTTTATATTTTTACCTCTCAGTTTCCAAGATATTTGACTAGTTTTCCAATTAGCTTGCATTTTGGTTTTTATATGCAAACTTTGCAACATTGATTGGTGAATTAAAGTCATGAGTTGATTGCATGTATTTTGCATTTGAGTACTTTCCAAGAGTTCTACCTGATTTTTAATTTGCCAGTAACACCAAATTCTTGGACCACAAAAAAACCCTCTAAAGTTCAAGTACAGTGGGGATCGAAGTTTGGGGCACCCCAGCTAAAAATTTGTATTAATGTGCATAAAAGAAGCCAAGGAAAGATGGAAAAATCTCCAAAAGGCATCAAATTACAGATTAGACATTCCTATAATATGTCAACAAAAGTTAGATTTTATTTCCATCATTTACACTTTCAAAATAACAGAAAACCAAAAAAAATGGCATCTGCAAAAGTTTGGGCACCCTGCAGAGTTAATATCTTGTACTGCCCCCTTTGGCAAGTATCACAGCTTGTAAACGCTTTTTGTAGCCAGCCAAGAGTCTTTCAATTCTTGTTTGAGGTATCTTTGCCCATTCTTCCTTACAAAACTCTTCCAGTTCTTTGAGATTTCTGGGCTGTCTGTCACGCACTGCTCTTTTAAGGTCTATCCATAGATTTTCAATTATGTTGAGGTCAGGAGATTGTGAAGGCCATGGCAAAACCTTCAGTTTACAACCTCTTGATGTAATCCCCCGTGGATTTCGAGGTGTGTTTAGGATCATTATCCATTTGTAGAAGCCATCCTCTTTAACTTCAGCTTTTTCACAGATGGCATCAAGTTACCATCCAAAATTTGCTGAAATTTTATTGAATCCATTTTTCCTTCTACTCATGAGATGTTCCCTGTGCCACTGGCTGCAACACAACCCCAAAGCATGATTGATCCAACCCCATGCTTAACAGTTGGACAGAGGTTCTTTTCATTAAATTCTGTGCCCCTTCTTCTCCAAACGTACCTTTGCTCATTCCGGCCAAAAACTTCAATTTTAACCTCATCGGTCCACAGAACTTGTTTCCAAAATGCATCAGGCTTGTCTATATGTTCATTTGCAAAGTTCAAACGATGATTTTTTGTGGTGAGGACGTAGAAGAGGTTTTCTTCTGATGACTCTTCCATGAAGACCATATTTGTACAAGTATCTCTTTATAGTGGAATAGTGTACACACAACTCCAGTGTCTGCCAGATCTTTCTGGAGGGATCGTGCAGTCAAACGTGGGTTTTGAATTGTTTTTCTCGCAATCCTGCGAGCTGTTCTGTCTGATATTTTTCTTGGTCTTCCAGATCTTGCTTTAACTTCCACTGTTCCTGATGACTGCCATTTCTTAATTCCATTCCGAACAGAGGATATTGACATCTGAAAACGCTTTGCTATCTTCCTATAGCCTTCTCCAGCTTTGTGAGCGTCAACTATTTTCAGTTTCAGTTTTCTAGACAACTGCTTAGAAGAACCCATGGTGCTGATTGTTGGGGCAAGGTCAGATGAGTCTGGGCATTTAAAACCTTTGAGATTGACATCACCTGGTCTTCCCAGACGATGATTGAGAACAATCCATGACACTGGCAGGTCTCAGCTTTGCAAAGGGGGCAGTGCATGCTATAAATGCAGGGTGCAGGGGTGGCAGATACGAAATGGTTAGTAAGGTGGATGAGTCTGATGCTTAGTTCTTAATGTATGAAAATACTAAATAAAATTTCAGTATCGGCTCAGTGTGGGTTTCAGTGGGCATTGCCATTCTTGTTACAGCAGGCTGGACTACAGTGATCTTCAGACACAGTTGTCATGTATAACATTCATGTTTCAAAGCTTATAGAATTATTATATCAGTGCCCCGAAGGTTGTATAAAGGCATTCCTCTTTATTTGGACTATTTATTTCCAATATTTCTAGAGCACCAACATATTAGACATCTCTTTATAGAAACGGTCACATCTGTCCTTGTACCAGAAGAGCTTACAATCTAACACAAAAAAACGTACATTGCACAAAAACTTTGGTTAGAGGTAATTTGAAGGAAAACTGCAAGATTACTTTTTCATTCCAATCTGCAACCAACAATGCATTTCTAAAACTGAAGAACATTTAAATTCTGCTTTGCAGTAGTCATTGCAACAGTACTAGTTACAGAACTTTCCCTGATATGTATAGTCTACACAGAGCTTGATATAAAATTACAGGCATCTTCAGTTCTGGTGACCTATTGGATGCCGAAATGTAGCTTTTTTTTCTTTTTACAACTCCGAGAACAAAGTATTGATTGTAGCTGACAGACCCTTCCACTGGGCTGTTTGTTTATGGACATTACTGCAGTGACCAGCCTCAGTATCTACTATGCATAAACAGATAGGAATCTGCATTGACGTTTACTAAAAATCTTATATTACTGGCTCAGATTTTTATTTTTTCTGTAGCAAAAGCAGAATTGCTCTTTACAAGTCTAATTTTATGATTTTGGATTATGGGCAAAGAACACTCACAATCCAATAGCTGTTCATGGCAGGAACTGAACCCCGCAATACAGTGATGCAAGGCCAGAGTGATAATCACGTTAACTGTTATAACTATCTATATATAATTAGAAAAGTGCATCACTTTGCTTATTCAGGACAAATGACAGGTCCTCTTTTTTGGAAACTTCCCCCACCAAAAGAATCCTGTACACCTGCCGATTTCTTGAGTTTAGTCCCTATGTAACCTCCTTGTTGGAGGGTTAATGACTTTGTTAGTGACGAGTTCAGGCCTGGTGATCGGCTGCTCAGATCCATGCATTGCATGGTGGAAGGAAGAGAAAACACCGTTACATACCCCCCCCATACATAGAAGAACAGAGCAGTAGGGAAGCACAGCAATGATGACAATGGTTGGGGTGTTTGGGGGTGTTATTTGCACCGAAGGAACAACACAATCTCTTTAACTACAACTGTTCTTTACTTCTACTGAATGCATTCAGTTATGCATATGTGAAATTCCATTTTGTAGTAAAGTATTTCATTCTGCAGAACATTTTCTTCCCCTTGCCTTAGGTTCTGTTACATTTCCAAGCCGTATAGACGCACATTGCCCTGGACTGGGAGATGATTGAGACAGCTTACACCATATAGTGCAGTGTGCTCAGTTTTCCTCCACCATGCCAAAGTCATCTCACTGAAGCACGTACCCCACCACTGTGCCGTATTCAGACCTTCAGCTAGCTTTCACCGTCCCCCCATCTAGCACTGCACACGTGCACACGTTGCACATTTGAAATTAACTCATGTTTCAAGATTTTAATCCCACCATCATCAGTTGCCTGGATGGACAGAATTGAAAGATCTGCTTTTAGTATCACCTGTTGCTGCTTTTCCCAATGGTCACTAATCCATGTGCACAGGGTTAAGCCATGAGAACTCGGGCTGCAAATTTTTTCTGATCTGTCTGTATCTGGGGATTTAACCCAGTCAATCCCCGAAGCCCCTTAACAGCTCCTGAGGCGCCATTCATTCTGCAATGTCTGAGCACATTTTTTCGGCACACGGTTTTGAACAGCAGGAGAGACAGACACATGCAGTATTCAGGGCCTCCATTGGTTAGAGAATTCTGACCCTAATAAGCAAAGGACTGCCAGTTCCTAGTAACTTCACAGACAATCCTCACTGGAAATGTCTTGGTGGGGTACTGAGAAGGAAATCCACAGAGGTCGGATATTGGGTCAAGCTAATAAAAAATGTTGATATTGGAAAAAGTGATGATATTGTTTCTTGTGCTGTTGTTTATGTAGCTCGAGCAGTAATAAAGTATGTGAGTACTTGAGAGTGTATGTATTATAAGACACACAGCATATTCAATGTGTTGTCTTCATGTGTGCATTTATTTGCATTATGCACTTAACAAAATGCAACATATTTACCACTTGTGTTCCAACAAAACCCACATAAGTAGGTCATATAGGCCAGTGGTCTTCAAACTGCAGCTCTTTGCTTGCCTTTATCTGGCCCTTGGGACAGTATTCCGTCAACCGATACCAGTGATGGGGCACCATTCCTCCCACTGACACCATTGACAGGGCACTACTGTTCCCACTAAAACCAGTTCTGGGGCATCATTTACTCCAAGTGGCCACAGCATGGCCCCTCTAAAGCCTAATGCACAGTAAACTGGTCCATTGTTTAGAAAGTTTGGAGACCTCTGATATAGAATGATAGGGTTCTATATATTGACCTTCATACACTAAATCTATTTCTGTTAATTGTTCTTATCCAGATTCAAGTACCAACTAAAGCAACTGACACAGGGTGATTCATGCTCTTGTGATCTCATTATTTTCTCAGATGGAAGGGCTGTTTGAGCCATTTTGTTTTCTTCTTTGCAGGGAAGAATGGGAGTGGCTTCAGACCTTAGCCAGTGTGGATGAACCAATCACCAGTGAGCAGGACTCCGAAGGCTGCCAAAGTCTATTACTGCAGGAACTTAGGAAGGCTGTGAAAGATCTAATGGGTCAAGTCAACATTCCTCGTGAAGAGGTAACTATCCATATTGAAAGAAAATAAAAGAACGTCATCAGCTTTTTGTTACATATACCTATACATGATTTAAGGTTTCATATATTGGTGGGTCACACGTATGACAATCAACTTCATCAACTTGCATGTATAAAAAGGACTATCCTTTTGTATGCGTTCACTCTCGATTTGGCTTTGTGTTAGGGTCAAAAGGAGGAGCCTCGTCGAGTCACATTTGTAACTCAAGTTTCAAAAACGTTTTATCCATGGGATTGCCTCAGCAATGCGATATCCATTTCTTCCATAGTGAGCTTGCATTGTGGGGTTTAGATGAAGCCTATTTAAAAGCCAACACGCGTCCAGAGGAACATTATAGATTTGGGCCTTAAGCAGGGCATTTCTTGAACGCAACTGAGAATTCCCTGCAAAATGTGTATTATTAGATGTAAGGAAACAAAATCAGATGCCACAGTCACACAAGTTGAAGCTGGGAGGGGAGAGGCTATAACAGGCTAGAACAAATGACTTGAAAAGTAGGGCAAACCAGTGGTGTAAGGAACAGGAGTAGGTAAACCATAAGCACAATACTCCACCAATATCTGTGCAGTGATAACAATAGGAACATGCTATTGATTTATTATTGACGGCAATATGATGTATTGAGGTGATGTGTGTAACCTCTGGGGAACCTGCACCCTAGGACATAGCCTATGTTGGCTATGCAGATATCCAGCCCTGGAAATGACAAACCCAGATGTGTGTGAAGCTCAGTTTAGGCTTATTTACCAATGCAAACAAATGCAAAAAAATACTCACTGATTATTTTATTCTCTTTGCATGTAGGCTAAAGACTTCCGTCTCTACAGTCAAGAGGTTCTGGAGTTTGGAGGCCAGGTCTCCTTTTTATTGTTGCTGCCTCCATCAGATGATGTCTGCACAGCTCCTGGCCAGAACACCCCCTATACTCCCTACTCAGGATTCCTCACACTGCCCCTTCAAATTTTTGAGCTAGGTAAGGTCCTCCACAGTCTCCTCCTTTGGTTACCTCTCTGCGTATGGCACCATGTTAGGGCAGCAACAAAAATAGGATCCGAGCATGGACCACAAAGGCTAAATGAAGCTATTTGCCTGTTTTAAGCTGCTTAGAAATTTGCTTAAACGTTTTTAAAATTTAAAGGAATATTTTTGTATTTAGGCTAGCCTAATTTGTTTCATTTAGTGTGCTTTTTTATGTATTTATCACTTTACATTTTTTACTTTACTTCTTTTTGTTAAAATAATGAGAATAAAAAGAAGTCATTTTTTGGAACAAGTACAGGTCCACAATAGTTGAAATGTGCTACCATAACCCTCAGGTGCCATTTAAAGTCATAGCACCCTTAAAAACTGCTAAAAACACCTTAATTTCTCCTTCCCTGTTGACTCCAATGCAATTAAAACAAATGACAACATTTTACCAAAATTTTAGCTGACATTTTGGTGAAATAAAAACTTTCATTGTCGCCCATACCTAATAACTACCATGTGCCAATAAAATGGGCAGACAGATATACCCAGGTGTGTATTTACCACAAGGCAAACAAGGCATTTGCCTAGGGCAGAATTTTTTAGGAGGGCAGTAGGGCCCATCAGAAGACGGGACATATGTAAATGGAAACCATGTGGGATCCGAAAAAGGCTGCGGGCTGCCTGATGGTGTAAGCAGAGCCCAACTGGAGTTCCTGGGGATGGCTAGATCTGTGAAAGTTGCTGTCTTTCTCTCTGTTGCGGGGGGGGGGGGTGTTAGTGGAAGGGGCTCTCTTTGGTAGGGGGGGGCAGGGGTGTTCTTGGTCACTGTCAGGCTCTCTCTGCGGGGGGGGGGGGCAATGTTGGTCAGTGTCAGGCTCTCTTCATCGAGGAGGGGGGGCACCCAATTTTTGTGTTGCCTAGGGCAGCACAAGACATAAATACACCACTGGATATACCTAATTGGCCCCATTGCTGGTAAACCAGAATGCGATCTTGTGTCTATTGGCAGACTATAACCCTTACTGGTGCCAAAAGGAGGTTGTCTAGTCAATGCATAAACATAGATGCTTGGCTTTAACATACCATAGTCATCCATTGATCTCAAGTCTATGGCCACTTTTGCTTCATGAATAATTTATATTTTGGATGTTGAATTACAGACACAAACACCTTTCCAGCCCATACATGAGACTAGAGCCTTCGTGCTGTCTGGTGTCACTGGTTATTTTAAACACAAGAACAAGAACTGTTAAGAACAAAAAGCACAATACATTAGCAGGGGGCCCCAAAATATAATTCACTTAATTGAAAAAATGTACAAACTCAATCATCAAAATCCCAATTCAAGTAAAATAATACTGTACTTTTTAATGAAGTCAAAGGATTTCTAACAAACATTTTGTGGTTGTTGGCATTCACAGTATGTTATAGCCTAATGTTAAAATAACAAACATGTGCGTTTTTTTTTTTTTTTTTGCACATAATTGTTGTTCTATTGCTGTAAATGTAATTAAGTTGTTTTTTTTCTCTATCCAGTTAACTTTTTCACATACGATCGTGATTTTATCAGTCAGTATTGTCAGTTATCTGCCATGTTGGAGCTGGAGTCTTTGTTGTCACAGCAAAGTCTTAGGGAGGCCTTCTCTGATACCGAACTCACAACAGCGAAGCAGCGCCATCAGCAAGTGCAGGATTTTGTACAGGTAATATACAGAGAGAATTGTTCATCATATAGAGATCCTGAAAATGTTAGGACAGGTAGTGTACTTTAGAGGAAGCCAAGGTATGGCATTTATATCAGTTTGGCTGGTATTGAATGCCTGACACAATCTTCACCTTCTTGTTTTCCTCTTTGTCAGTTTGGCTAAATATCACACTGTGGCGCATCCCTATTCAATTGAACGGGTTGCATTTGGTGGAAGTACTGCCTGCCAAATATGACAGGTGGTATCATTTATACAGTTGTGTTCAAAATAATAGCAGTGTGTTAAAAAAAAAGTGAATAAAGCTCAAAATCCTTCTAATAGCTTTTATTTACATACACACAAATGCATTGGGAACACTACACATTCTACTCCAAATCAAAACATGAAGAAAAATATATAAATTTGTGTTCCTCTAAAAAAATTGAAGAAAAGTGAATATTAGACTGTTCAAAAAAATAGCAGTGTTTGTATTCTTCTTTACAAACTCAAACATTCACTATATAAACTGAAAAATGTTTGAAGATTTTGCTTTCCTTTGAATCACTTAATGAATATTTGTTGTATAAGCACTGTTTCTGAGAACTGCTGTACATCTGTGTTGCATGGAGTCACCCAACTTCTGGCACCTGTGAACAGGTATTCCAGCCCAGGATGATTGGACTACATTCCACAGTTCTTCTCTATTTCTTGGTTTTGCCACAGAAACTGCATTTTTGATGTCACCCCACAAGTTTTCTATTGGATTAAGATCCGGGGATTGGGCTGGCCACTCCATAACGTCAATCTTGTTGGTCTGGAACCAAGATGTTGCACGTTTACTGGTGTGTTTGGGGTCGTTGTCTTGTTGGAACACCCATTTCAAGGGCATTTCCTCTTCAGCATAAGGCAGCATGACCTCTTCAAGTATTCTGATGTATTCAAACTGATCCATGATCCCTGGTATGCGATAAATAGGCCCAACACCGTAGTATAGAAACATCCCCATATCATGATTATTATACAGTGTTTATATAGTGCCAAAAGGGTTGTTCAGCGCTGTACATTATAGTGGGGGACAGTACATGAGACAATACAGTAACAATACAATACATGAGGGGTTCAAGGGCCCTGCTCCTTCGAGCTTACAATCTAGGAGGGAGGGGGTAGAGGTACAGAAGGAAGTGGCTGTGGGGGATGGAGTGGTAGGAAGAATGGAGGAGAATGGCTGTTAGGTGAGGGTGGGGTAGGCTTCCCTGAAGAGATGGGTTTTCAGGGTGCGCCTGAAGGTGAGGAGGGTAGGTGACAGTCTGATGGATTGGGGTAGGGAGTTCCAGAGGATGGGGGAAGTCCTGGAGAAGTCCTGCAGTCAGGTGTGGGAGGAGGAGACCAGGGAGCTAGAGAGTAGGAGGTCTTGTGAGGAGCGAAGGGCACAGGGTAGGGTGGTATTTGGGTTATCAGGTCAGTGAGGTAGTTTGGGGCAGCGTTATGAATGGCTTTGTATGTCAGAGTTAGTAATTTGAATTTAATTCGTTGGGCAATCAGGAGTCAGTGAAGGGATTGGCAGAGGGGGGTGGCAGAAGTGGAGCGGTTGGTGAGGTGGATGAGTCTAGCCACTGAGTTCAGGATAGACTGGAGCGGGGATAGCGTATGTTGGGGTAGGCCAGTGAGAAGGGAGTTGCAGTAGTCCAGGCGTGAGATAATAAGGGAGTGTACGAGTTGTTTAGTGGTGTCTGGGGTGAGGAATGTACGTATCTTGGAGATGTTGCGGAGACACCTAGGACTTTGGCTTGCGGGGTGGGATTGATGGTGGCGTTGTTAGTCGTGATGGAGAGGATGGGGGGGGCACGGGCTGGGGGGAAAACCAGGAGCTCGGTTTTGGAAAGGTTTAACTTGAGGAAATGGAGCTACATCCAGTCTGATATATCGTTTAGGAGGTGGGTGATGTGGGCGGAGAGTGAGGGGGTGAGGTGAGGGGTGGAAAGGTAAATTTGTGTGTCATCGGCATAGAGGTGATAGTTGAAGCCATGGGAGTGTATCAGTTTGCCAAGGGAGGAGGTGTAGATGGAGAAGAGAAGGGGTCCGAGGACAGAGCCTTGGGGGACCACAACAGAGAGGGGGAGGATGCAGCGTTATAGGTGACGCTGAAGGAGCGTTGGGATAGGTAAAATGAGAACCAGGAGAGAGCAGCAGTCCCTGATGCCAAGGAAGTGTAGTTTAGTAAGGAGGGGGGTGGTCGACTGTGTCGAAGGCCGCGGAGAGGTCGAGGAGCAGGAGGACTGAGTAGTGGCCATTAGCTTTGGCGGCTAGCAGGTCGTTACTGTCTTCACAGTGTACTGTGGCTTGAATTCAGGGTTTGGGGGGTCGTCTGACAAACTGTCTCCGGCCACTAGACCCAAAAAGAATAATATCACTTTCATCAGTCCACAAAATGTTGCGCCATTTCTCTTTAGGCCAGTCAATGTGCTCTTTGGCAAATTGTAACCTCTTCAGCACGTGGGACTTTGCGGGGGCTTCTTGCAGATAGCTTGGCTTCACATAGGCGTCTTCTAATTGTAACAGTACTCACAGGTAACTTTAGACCTTCTTTGATCTTCCTGGAGCTGATTGTTGGCTGAGTCCTTGCCATTTTGGCTATTCTTCTATCCATTCGAATGGTAGTTTTTCGCTTTCTTCCATGTCTTTCAGGTTTTGGTTGCCATTTTAAAGCATTTGCGATCATTTTAGCTGAGCAGCCTTTCATTTTCTGCACTTCTTTATATGTTTTCCCCTCTCCAATCAACGTTTTAATCAAGGTACGCTGTTCTTCTGAACAATGTCTGGAACGACCCATTTTCCTCAGAATTTCAGAGAGAAATGCACTGTAACCAGCATGTACAACATTTGCTGCCTTCCTTCCTTAAATAAGGGCAATAATTGCCACCTGTTTTTCAAAGAATGAATGACCTCACTAATAGAACTCCACACTGCTATTATTTTGAACATGCTCCTTTCAATTAGTAATTTAATTACACAGAATCAGCAGCATGCATGTCATGACTGTTGGGTCTGTTGGATTTCTATTACTCTACTACACCTGCTAGTAAATTATTTGCCATGTGGAAATATCATTTCTACCAAAAACAGTGATTGATCAGGTTAGTGATGTCTGACAACTATTATTTTGAATGCAACTGTATATCTCCTTTGGCAATGTCAACTTGCAGCTTGGTGGTTGGAGAGGTGGTGATCAAACTGTTTCTCACCTGCCTATTTATACCGCCTCTCAACCGCCGATTTAAACAGGGCCTTAGCGAGTTGCCTTTTTAAACAAAAGTACATATAGTATAATAATGACAAGCTTTCAATTTTATTTACAATGGGCATTCAAGTTAAACTGGGACTTTTAATTTTACACGTATAAAAAGGAATGCTAGCCTGGCGGTACTACACGCAGTAGTAAGTGGCAAGTGCGTCCTATTACTGATAGGTGGAGCACATGTCACGGTGTGGTGATGAAGTTTCTTGTGAACGTAGGCTAAATCCCGCAGTTGTCTACAGAAGACTTCATGCACAGTACAGTGATGAGATGCTCAGCCGAAGTAGGACATTTGAATGGTGGAAACGTTTCAAAGATGGCTGTACGTCCGTCAGTGACGATCCCGGCAATGGTGGTTTCCAGTCAACGTGTAGATTTTATATCCCGTGGCACCAATATCAAAAGTGAAAATGACTGTCGTGTTCTGAGTGATGTGCATAAGCATCTGCAGAAAAAAATTACCAGACCTCTGATGAGATATTTGAAGTCTCTATATTATATAAAAGCGCACAAAGGTTGCTCATCTGGTGAGTGCGTAGTCTGTATCTTAATTGTTTCACCGTGTGCACAGTCTGTGTCGTTTGGAAATCAACAGATCGGTTGAGATCTTGCTCACACCTTCACGTTGGACTTATTCTTGGATATAGCAATTTTCCTCACGTTATATCAGCCACAAATCTAGTGGCATATATATGAGTGCACAGTGTCACTTTATATCTTTGTATGATCTTATGTACGTGTATATATACGTTTATTCATTTGTGTTTTAGCGCTGCACCTTTTTGTATATTATAATTAGAGATGAGCGAATTATTCAAAAATTCGGTTCGGCTGATTCGCCGAATTCGCCGAATAAATTTGCTTCGAGCCGAATATATTCGCTGCAAATTTAACTTATAAAAAGGGTGTTTCTAGGCTTCAGAGAGCCTTTATATTAGTGCAGAACACTGTACCTTTAATTTAAATGCCCTTGGAGTCTGCTGGGGAAGAGAAATAATACTGTCAGTCAGTATGACATGCAGATGAGTGCCGTCGATCTTAGAATCACCGCAAACTTCACTCATTTGGGCAGTCACGGGGCCAAAACCAGAGTGTGGAGCCACAGTGTGGCGGTGGAGGCAGCAGCAATGGGAGGCCATACAGCACCCTATGACAAAATGGAACCCACCAGCAGTGTGAGGAGACCTGAAAGTGGCACATGGCAGAGTGTGGCGATGGAGACAGCAGCAATGGGAGGCCGTACAGGGACCCATGACACACTCTGGACCTGGCAGCAGCATGAGGAGGCGGTACAGGGGCCCATGACAGATTACGGGCCTGGCAGCAGCATGAGGAGTCGGTACGGGGGCCCATGGCAGATTACGGGCCTGGCAGCAGCATGAGGAGGCGGTACAGGGGCCCATGGCAGAGTGGCGGAGCGTAAGCAGCTAAAATTGAAGGCCTAACAGAGGCCTATGTTAAAAAGTCCCCCCAGCAGCAGCGTGGGGAGACGACTATCAAGAGTCCAATGGCAGAGTGGCGGAGCAGAAGCAGCTTCAATTGAAGGCCATACACAGGCCTAGGTTTAAAAGTCCCTCACAGTTAATTCCAATAACGAACTCTACTCCTCCGTGCAATCTAGTTACGAGACCCTGGGCAGGTCTGGGTCCAATTTGTGGTAGAGACTGGTTTTGTTCAGCCATGCTTGAGCGAGTAATAACAGGTCTGTGCTGCCCTTTGGTGT